TGAACTTCGATCGATGCTGTGAACGGTCCCACAGCAGCTAGTGGCCATAGATAGCTGAGAGTCACAAGTTTCAGGATACTTTTGTCACCGCTTACCATGGACATAAGCAGGCAGCTGGAACCGCGTGATTGTTGCTGATTGCCCGCTTGAAATCCTCCCATGCACTTGGAGAGGCCAAGTCTACCGGCCTTGCCACCCCCCCCGCGAGGTCAAACGGCTCCAGGTCATAATGGGACCGGCGGATCACTGCGGTGGGGTCGACCGGGATCTCTGACAAGCTCCGTCCTGACCGCGGTGGGGTGAAAACACCTAACAAGGGAAGTCTGGAGGGCACTGGAGGTGAAGACACATCTTGGAAAAAATGACATCGAGTTTCTGTTTAGAGAGGTGTCAGTGATTGCTACTATATACCATTTTAGCTGATTGGTTTTACACTTGTCAGGGGTATCCCATTAATCAACCAACCAAGAGCTTACTAGGCCATCACGGTCTCTGGGGTCATGGTCCGTCCAAGTAGTTGCAGGTCGGAGGGCTTTTAGGGGAGACGATGGGTCCCCATGGTCTAGTCGGACACGAACAGAACTGATGCTTCGCGGGTCGATTCGGCACCGGTGCTAAGCGTCCAAGGCTCGGCCGATGACCTCCACCAACGCCTTCCAAAGGCTTTGCATCGCGCTCTGGTTGTTCTGCGTCGTCTCCACCGGCGCCGCCTTTCGCATCAGGCCCGCACCGCAAATGAGCAGAAAGATCTGACCAAACCGCAAGGAGCAGCAGAATCCAATCAAACGCGGTCGAATTTGAAGATTTTAAAGCGACTCCGTTGTTGAACTTGTTTGAGGAACCGTGATGCATCCAATGCTTCGATTCAAAACAACCCCCTGAGCTCAACAAGCCTCAAACAAGGCGGAGGGGCCATGTTGGATGAAACTCACCTTCATGTCCTGCACCACAGCCCTCACTTTGGTGGTCCAATCTCTGGAATCTTCTGAATTCACCTTGCTCATGTCCAGTGGTTGGGTCTTGCCACTTTCTCCCACCTCTGGCTTCGTGGGGGATGCCCCAGCACCGCAGTGGCGCCACACACGGCGCCGCATCTTGTCGTTGAGGCGTTGGGTGGCACGGCCCCCCAGGCGCAGCGCCTCCAGCCTGAGTTCGTCACCATCACCGGTGAGTCAGGCTGGGGTGGCCCAGTTCACCCGATATTTTGGCATCACCAAGACGACACAACTCCAACTCACAACTCCATCAGCATGCCCATATAGAGTCGTCTACATGCTGAAGAAAGAGGAGCCAACCGACGAAACGCGTGGTCGTCCGGGCTCCGGGCACTGTGACAAAACCGGCCGACCCTCGTCGTTTTACGTCGTGCCTGGAGGGCTTGGTCGCATAGATCCATCCCTCACAGTCGGTGCTGGAGTCCACCTGAAAACACGTGGACACGCGGTCAAAGTGGGCAACCCTGGTAAACCAATTCTTCGAAAAGAAATCACAGAATGGACTGCATTTGCTAAGGGGGTCAACCCAACACAGTACTAAGAGGCTCGTCATCGGCTACATGCATATATATTATACTATATCAGAATTTGGAGGATCGAACGACGGATCCGCCACACGCTCGTGGAACGTGCTTCGCTTGGGCGTCCGTCGAACGGATGGTTTTTGGGCACCCCGAAATCCATCCAGGTAATTACTTCGATTCGAGATGATTCGAGCATATGTTTCTCGGGTTGTTGGGCAAAAGCGAAAAGATGGCACCCATCAGAGCGCCGCAGAAAAAGCAAGAACAGCACGGACCATGAAAAAAGCCATGGCCCCCTGCCCACGATCCCAGTTCTCACCTGAACCACATAGCGTGCAGCCCGTGGATCCGACGGGTAAACGAGCTCCTTGAGATCGGTCCTCGGTGAGCGAAGGGGTACCTGGCTGACCTCATGGGTTTATATCTACTATAGAACAAGGTTCGCTACGTTCGGGGCTCCTGGCATCGCTACTAGGAGCAAGGACGCCACTAGGGGCTCCTGGCCATACTACTAGGAACAAGAAGCTATGCATGACCTGAGAAAAACAGAGACAGATGCGATAAAGAATCTAGAAGAACTCCGCAAAGTTGTCAGCACAGAAATGGTTTCCAATACCTGTTTAGTAATTTTACAGGAGATTAACACTGCCACCTGTGTGGGGGTTCGCTGGAGGGAAAATGTTAACTTCTTGCTCTTGTAGGGCGATGACACGACCCCATATCTGGCAGTGGAAACTTTGCGACTAAGGACTGCGGATCTTAAAATGCAAGGGATCCTCCACATATATAGATATATATAGTCTATCCGCCATGGTGTCTTACGTCCAAATCTCAAAAACGATCAAAAAGGTTATTATATACAGGTCTCATCCCATCCATGCACCCGGCTACTCTCTGCCATGCCTCGAATCAAAGTCACCTACGGCACCATCCTTCTTGTCCTGCTCTTTCCTTGGGGTGGGGCAGGTTTCACTCGGTAGTACACGCTTGTCGGTGGGGAGGTGTTGCATCGGCAGTCACCGACTGCAACTTATCACTGGTTACAATTTGCTTCTGAATGAACTGCCCTACTGACGCAAGCGCTCATCCCGGGTGGTGAGCGATCCACCCGATTGGCTTCAACCAATGGATGCTTTCAGGAAGTTTCACTCCAAGCTCCACCAAACATCCGTTTAATTGCCCATGGCACAGGAAAAGGCTTCTGTCTCATCAAATCCCCCCTACGGCAGCCCCCCCCGGCGAGCTTCACCACAAGATTGATTGCTTCACTACCACGAACTCTAAAAGAAGGCCTGCGAACTGAAGGGTGGGACAATGGGCATATGGCATATGTGGCATATGCCTCATTGTTTCATTGTTGATGAAGATTGAACGCCCTCTGGCAACAAGAGTAGTTGTGTGCAACTCTGAATCGCTCTACTTTCGGGTTTGGTACAGCCCGAGTGGTGCAGAATGGTGTCACGCTGTCATCCACAAACGTTAACCAAAGAAAAGAAATAGAACAAACATGAACAAACACAACAGGAGAGTCAACCCCTCCTTTCAGAATATCTTGAGTGTTGCGTCTTTTGAAGATCCAAATTGGAAACCATTCCCTCCAAGACCGTCCAACTCACGTGTTTCGACGCGTCGCACACGGTCACACGGTCCCCCCCCCGCGGTCATCGGACGGGGCGCACCACTTGGAAGGGCGGCGGCCTCTCCTCGTGGAGAGCCGACGGCCACCATCGGCCACCCAAGTGGAACGAACAGCAATGGGAGTTTGGTCGTGGAGTGGATCGAACTAGCAGGATCTTGCAACATCGATCCGGTTCGCTGAGCTTAGGGAACAAACAACATCTGCACATGCTCCACCATCCGGTCTGGTCCACGACCTTCTTGTCCTTCACCAAAAAGAATTCCAACGGATGATGTGGTCAAGTTTACCCACTGATAACTAACACCAAACTCATTACTCCATTCGTGAATGCCATAGGTCCTAAGGTCCTAGCCTTCTTTCACCTCTCCTCGAAGACCAACTTCTCTGTCCAGCTGGCCGAGAACTCGGGCGTCGCTTCCCAGGAATTGGTCCATCCCAGCCTCAGCTGAAGATCTGAAGCGCTGAAACCTGCGCCGTCGAAGGCTTCGTGTCACTAAAGATTGCACCAGGTGAGTTGGCGCGGGAGTTTGCCGGGGCATGCGTGGGGCAGGCATGATTCCTCGAAGATCACATGAACCCAGCTCAATGACCCAGTGAAGGAGACTGCGCAGCTCCAAACACCAACATGGTTGTTTTTGGTGAAGTTTCCAGCAAGTGGCCCATTCTCCAGTTGCTTGTGGCCTACTCTTCAAAGGACTGAGCTCGCTCTTGTGACATCATACTTTGACCAAATGTCTTGTTGTTTGCTCCTCCTTTGCAGTGTCCGTGCGGCCCTCCAAAGTCAACCTGAAAACGGACTCCAGATGTGCTTAGAGAAGTCTTGAGGAAGGTAGGTGCCCTTCGCTGCTGGAGGATGTATAATTGCCAAGTGGGTGTGGCAACAAACCAGGTTCAGAATCCACAAACCCCTGTCTTCATGTTTGAAAGCCGAGCATCATCTAAAGCCGCAGTTTTTACCAAGTTTCGTTCCTTGATACCCGATGGGTTCGCAATGAAGGCTTTGGGCTGAAGACATACCACCCACACCGACGGAATCTCCAAGCGACTGCTGATTCTCCCAAATCGCTTCCGGGGGAAGCAGTCGCTGGTGGATCTCTGGTGGAGGATCCACCGTCAGGAAGGCGCCCGCCATGGCGAAGGCGAGGGCTCATCGCGGCTCGTGGCAGTTCAGACGCAGTGGGGTCGGAGACATTTGGAGGATGAGACAGATCTAACTGGAGAGCTTCTCATCATGGAAGAAAGGCTAGCCATCACTGCAAAAAGGGTTCTAACTCTATGTTAACTTGGTCAAGTCCGTATATACTCATAGCAGAGTCTGCCAGTTAGCCACCTGCTGTGGAACTGCTGGGTTGTCGTGTAAACGTTCTGTCCCAGGGGACGCTGAAACCGCGCTGTGGGCGAATGACTCGGGCGTGAGCATTCCGGCATCGAGGTGACTCCACGACCACAAGCATGAGCCTTCATGGCAGTTTTTAGATCGCAAGCATTAACATGAACCATCCAAAGGACATATTGGCCTATATCACATAGCAAAGGTATCTGTGTGCGTATGTGTGCGTGTGTGCATGTGTCTCTGTGTTCACGCGCAGTGGCTCTCTCCGCTCCCCGCTACTGGGTGCAGGCCATTCGTGGGATGGCAATTCGTCTATTATTCATAGGAACAAGGACGCTACGCCCCTGGCCGTACTACTAGGAGCGATCGGACGCTACGAACGGAACAAGTGAAACTCATGTTTTCAAAATTGTCTCTTCGGTCTCTTCGATGGCTTCCGATTCGCCAGGGGTGAATCCACCCCGGGTTCGCCGGTGGCGCGCGGCCACGGAGTACTGAGGACGTCCGGCACACGTCGCTGACGTCGCTCTTCTTCGACCTCTGGAACCGTCGATCATGGTCAAACGTAGACAGGTGCGAGGGGCATTGAGCATAGCTTTGATATATAATTGTACTTTATACATATATATATATATGATTACATATGTATGCTACATATGTATATATATATATAATTATGTAAAAGTGTGTGTTTTGTTTGATATATTGTGTTATATCTATATCTTATATCTATTGTTGGCATTGAACGTGAAGATGCTTTCAAAGAGTTCGATCATGGGTCCCAGCTGCGTGGGTGCCGTCCCTTTTCGAAGACATGTTGAACTCTTTGAACGCATGACACTGGCATCAACACCCCATGCGACAAACGGACACGAGGCATGACACCGGACTGATGCAATCCCACAAGGCCGCCACTTCTTTTTCTTCTTTTTCTTCTTTTTCTTATCCTCCGACCATGGGGAGCTAGCACGAGGGAGCAAGTTGCTCCTTTTTTTAAGGTTTCATTTCGTCAAGTCAGTCTAGTCTAGTGACATGTTCACTGGCTTATTGCAGTACAGTAGATTCAGAGTAAATGGCACAAACCCCGTGGAGTCCTTTAGATGGGGGTCCATATAAACCACCTCTTGGGGTCTGTGCCATCTACTCTCAATCCACCGATTCCGGGGTAGCCAATCGCCCAACTGCTCGAGTTCAGGCCATCAAGCTGGTGTGAAACTGCTCGTCTGATCGGGAAGTGACACGGCTTTACGACAAATCCCCATGGCGGTACTGCGCAAGATCTTTCGAACATGGGGTGGGTTGCCTTTGCACCTCATCTGTACCTCATCCGCTTGACAAAAAAGTTCTGAGAAATATTGAGAAATTAACTAAAAGCTCTGAAAGGTACAAACACAATTAGCTGCTTTGTCACTTTCTGCAACCAGCAGGATGGTTAAAGCAACACAACCTCAAAAAGCAACCAAGAACACATGGATCTACACCCTCCTTCCAACAAAGCGGAAGATAGGCCCCCAAGAGATTGTTTGTATTTATGTTTCCTCTATCTCTTGATAGGCATATAATGGCATATATAGTAACATACACGCAATAAACACACACATAAAATATATATATATATTTGTTTTTATTATTACTATTATTACACCATATTACACTGTATGATCCTTCCCTTGGTGCCTTCTTCTTCTTTTTCTTCTTCTTTCTTTCGCTCGAGCTATCCGAAGATTCGCTTGATCTTCGACTACTGCTCTCCGGGCTTTTCTCCTGGCAAGCCGGGTTCTGGGCAAGGAGCGAAAACATCAAAAAGTCTTATTCAAACATCCTGAAAATGTGCCCCACAGGAAGTACCCTCTCCACAAACTAACCTAGCCCCCCACCTGCCGGAGGAACCTCCTGACAGGAGCTGGAGTTGGAAGGAGTAGTGGAGTCTGCAGTGCCACCTCTTTCTTCGAATGCATTTTCTCTTTAGGATCCTTCTACGGCTCCTTGACAACAAGCTCCTTGGATGTCCGACGGGTCGCCGCGCCTCGGATTCCGACTTCTTCTCCACCGGCTCAGCGACGGGGCCGCCCATCCCTGGCACCTGCCGCAGGTCGACCACGACCGATGGGATGACTGCGTGGCGCTGCCGGGGGGTGATGGCACGGGGGAACCTGCAAAGGTTTGCCCACCAAAATCAACAACAGAAGGACAAACCTGGGAGGTCAACCTGTTCGGGGCTCAAACCGCCAGGACCCACATAAGGCGGTCATGGCGACGGAAAGGTCGGTCGCGGTCATAAACACCCATCCTCCATGGGAACTGAACCTGGGCACGCACTGAGTTGGACAACTGAACCACAGTGAGAACCGGGGACTTCCTATGATTCCTATGGAAGGGTCAATGTCAGAACGCAGTGCCTCGGGAGCCTGGGTCTGGAGTAGATTATAGTAGATTCAATACACTATAATAATGGATCATGAAAGTCCTGGAAAAGCCATGCACGGAAATTCCGTGTGCGTGCTACTGCATTCCTCTGTAATTACGGTAACATTATTTGGGAGTCTTCAACGCACCCGGCCAAGCATGTGGAGTCTGCGTCGGTCTTTTTCTGGTTTCCGCTGCTGTCAGCAGTGAGAACAGAACAGGAATGCGCGATCGACAAAAACATGATGAAAACCCATTGAAAACCACTGAAAAATTTGCGGCTTCACTGATAAAGACTGATAAAGCACAAAATGATCCGTCGTTCATGCAGGCCCTAAGCCATCTCAGAGTTGGTAAGTTGAGGTGATTGTCGATCGACAGCTCCAATATACATGCAGTCATTCACCAAAGAACGGCTGCAAGGTCATCACTGAGGTGTCGCAGCCGCCATCGCCGGTGCCTCGGCGGCCTCCCCGGCGGCCTCGGGAGGCGGCGCCGCTTGCACCGCCGGAGCGGGCGCTGCTTGCGTGCCCTCCGGCGGTGGTGCTGCGCCCAGATCCGGCACGCCCTGTGCCTGGAGCGGCATGCCCTGTGCCTCAGGACTGGCCTGAACCTCCAGTGGCATGGAAGGCATGGGCGCCAGGGAGGCTGGCGCCACACCACTCATTGACATCTGGGCGGGGTCAACGGACGCCTTGGTCGGTGGTTCGACCCTCCAGGCCCTTGGAGTTCCGATTGCAACGATCCATCTGCCTGCGAACCGAACGGGAACAGGTTCGAAGTCTAAGTTGCGTTAATCTGTTGGGCATGCAGGGGGTTCCTCCCTCTCAACTCCAGAGTTTCTAGGAGGCCCTTTGCAAAATGATCAAATTAGTTTCAAATCGACGCCCACACTACAGCTAGCAGCTAGTAACATCGATGTCGAAGCATATTTGGCCGTGGGTCATGGCACTGGGATACCTCAGTTGACCGTTGGGGCTCCGGGTTTTGACCCACAGCCATTGGTCAGAACTATGAACCGTGACATTAATTCGACGATATTCGAAGTGTTTGATCGCCAACCGCTATGACTTGCGACATCTTAGCGACCGTGTTCAACGCCCAAGCGGCTCCCATACTTGACGCGTCCATTCCAGGCTGCATCATCGGCTGCATCTGCAGGGGTGGTGGGGGTGGGAAGTCATTGGAAATCCTGACTGGTTAAGAAAGTGGGTCATGGGTCAAAGCAACAAATCCAAATCCAATTCATGGGCCCAAACAAGCTCTATATATATATAAGCACATCTAAGCAAAAAGCAAGTGCACAAGTAGAGCCAATTTGTGGCTTGAGACAAGCTGTTCTCTGCTCCACGCAAACCAACATCCTTCCGCCAAACATCACTTCCAAATCTTCCAAAATAAAAGCCACAGTTCTTGGATAGTTCTTGGTTGGCAACCAAGTATTGAAGGGCCCGCCTGTTGTTGAGGCATCGTCTGCATGAAAGCTTGCTGCTGCATTGGCTGCATCGATTGCATGGATTGCATGCTTGCTTGCTGTGGCATGGCCTGCTGGAATTGCATGCCAGGCTGTTGCATTGCCACCTGTTGCATCCCTGGCTGCATGCCTACCTGCATGCCCGGCTGCTGAACCGCATACTGTTGCATGGGCTGCTGGAC